TGTGAGCCGCGACTGTCAGCGAGACTGGAAAAGCGGAGCAACTTTGGGTTCCTTCGAAGTGGCGGATGCCGATTAACGAGCCGCCTTCCCACGCGACCAGGAAATGTTACGCAAGCCTCGTTTAGAGGAAGAAACAATTAGCGGCCCGCCTCTTCTCTGTCATTGTGCATGCAAAACGGGGGAGTGCAGTTGCCAAATGCGGCTTGGGAAATTCCTGGAGATTAGGGGGCGGGAAGGGCAGAGGTTGAGGGGGGATGGAGCGCAGAGGAAACGTGATGTCACTCTAGGACCGAGAATCATAGAGTTGGGACCTCCAGGGTCATGTAGTCCACCCCCCGCACGAGCCAGGGAATTCACAAATACCCCTCCACACCCACAGTGACCCCCCCACTCCACGCCTATAAGATGACAAAAAACCCAACAACAAACAAACAAACAAAAACCCCTCCAGGATCCCTGGCCAAAGCGGCCTGGAGAAAAATGGCTTCCTGACTCCAGAGTGGCGATCGGCATTTCTCTGGGCGTGTAAGAAAGGGTCGCGAGAACTAAGCACTGAGGCAACCCTTCCTGCCCTCCCTCTCATGATCGGCCTCAGTTCACAGAATCCACATCACTGTCAGATGGCCATCCAGCCTCTGCTTGAAAACCTCCAACCGCTCTAACTGTCAGGAAGTTCTTCCTAACGTTCAGCTGAAAACTCTTCTGATTTAATTTCAACCTGTTGGTTCTGGTCCGACCTCCTGAGGCACAGAAAACAACTCCACACCATCCTCTCTAGGACAGCCCTTCAAGTACTTGATTATGGTTTCTCCTAGACCTGTGTGTCTCCTAGACTACTGTAAACCATAGAGTCTTCCTTCCAAAGCTGCCAACTAACTCCGCTTAGCGGGAACACGTCTGGGTTCTGCCACACAGTTACACTAGGCTTCTGTTGAGTTTAACGGAATTTATTTCTGAAACGTGTGGTGCTTTCATAACGTTTTTGTGGGGACCCACATCTGATGTCGATGTGTGCAGCGGCAGGCGATACAGAGCCGGGCAGGTACCTTCTGGAGCTGCTCTCGAACCCAGACCCAGGGTCTCACCTTTGATCTGGAGCGGCCCCTCCACTCGCACGCCGTGCTTCATCACCGCCCCGGCTCGAGGCGCTTTGTCCTCCAGCTCTCCGGGACGACGGAAGTTGCAGCGCTTGACGTCCTCGAACACCTGGAACATCTCGTAGACGCGGGCCGTGTATCCCGCCAGCTCCGTCACCTGGTGGACAGAATAGCGATTGAACGTTTGAATGCTGAGAGGGACATCCGGAAATCGCCCGATCCAGTCTTTGGCTCTGAGGCAGGGGAGATTTGACCCGGATTTCACCCTTGGTTTGGTGTAGTGGTTAAGTGTGCAGACTCTAATCTGGGAGAACCAGGTTTGATTCCCCACTCCTCCACTTGCACCTGCTGATGTGACCTTGGGTCAGTCACAAGCTCTGGCACAGCTGTCCTTGAAAAAGAGCAGTTTGTGTCAGAGTTCTCTCAGCCCCACCCACTTCACAGGGTGTCTGTTGTGGGGAGGGGAAGGGAAAGGAGTTTGTAAGCCGCTCTGAGACTCCTTCGGGTAGTGAAGGGCGGGGTATAAATCCAATCTCTTCTTCTTCTTTTACCTCACAGGGTGTCTGTTGTGGGGAGGGGAAGGGAAAGGAGTTTGTAAGCCGCTCTGAGACTCCTTTGGGTAGTGAAGGGCGGGGTATAAATCCAATCTCTTCCTCTTCTTCTTCTTCTTGTAGGATTTTACCTAGAAGCTGGGACTCTGCGCAGAATCTAATGTTTCTTTAAAAAAATATAAAGGTGGGCTTCTAACGTGCTACTGTAGACTGACGGGGAAACACTTTGGTCAGAACCCTAATGGGAGTTTCCAGAATTCCGTCCATGAATTTTAGCTGCACAATGTGTCTTTTGCAGGACCGGCAATAAGCGTCAACACCACTATAAATGAAACCTTTCCCCATTCTGGAAGACTTCATGCAAGTGGAAGCGGGCGTGTAATTCTGGAAACTCCCGTTGGGGTTTACATAAGAACATAAGAGACGCCAATGTTGGATCAGGCCAAAGGCCCATCCAGCCCAACACTCTGTGTCACACAGTGGCCAAAAATACCAGGTGCCCTCAGGAGGTCCACCAGTGGGGCCAGGACATTAGAAGCCCTCCCACTGTTGACCCCCCCAAGCACCAAGATGATAGAGCATCCCTTGCCCTAGAGCCCCTATCTATACCTTGTGGCTAATAGCCACTGATGGACCTCTGCTCCAGATGCTTATCTAATTCCCTCTTGAAGCCGTCCATGCTTGTAGCCCCCACCACTTCCTGTGGCAGTGAATTCCAAGTGTTAATCACTCTTTGGGTGAAGAAGTACTTCCTTTTATCCGTTCTAACCCAACTGCTCAGCCATTTCATGGCGTGCCCACAAGGAGTTCTTGTCTTGTGAGAAAGGGAGAAAAGTACCTCTTTCTCTACCTGTTCTTTCCCATGCATAATCTTGTAAACCTCAATCATGTCACCCCTCAGTCGTTGTTTCTCCAAGCTAAAGAGCCGTAAGCGCCTTAACCTTTCCTCATAGGGAAAGTGACTTTTTAAATACTGATGCAAAATTGAGTGGTAGCTGTTAAGTTGTATGAACTGTATGTTATTGTAATACTGAATGTACTGAATATATATACCTGATTTGGATGCTATAAGAATACACAATGCACTTTATAGAATGTTAATTATAAACAGAACACATTAATTTACAAAAGTTTCTTGCAGTGTATATTTATTCGTTCCTTGACCCACCCCGGGACTGACAACCCTAGCAGAAGCTTTAAATTTAGCAGACTTCCAGGAGGACAGCGTTCCCTCGACAGTTCCCGTGGGCAGTCCCGGATAATCTCTCTGCACGAGGCACAACGAACGGCTTATCAGACACTGCACATCTAATGACATGCAAATAAGCATCGAACCTGTTTCGCCGTAATGGTTCCCAGCTGGAAAGGCCTGGGAACTGCCGCTTCCTAGAGAGGCCAGGGAACTCTAATGAGGAATTCTCAGCATACCCCTCTGTGAAACCACATTTACCAGAATTCTTTTGAGGTGTATAAAATCATTAACTGTTTACATCATTTATACCTCACTTTTCTCCTCAACGGGGACCCAAAGTGGCTTACAATATTCTCCCCTTCTCCATTTTACCCTCACGAGAACTCTGTGAAGTAGGTCAGACTGAGAGGATGTGACGGGCCCACGTTCACCCAGCCAGCTTTCATGGCAGACCCAGGGAAATGACGATCACCACTTTGGGGTCAGGCAACCATTTTTCTCCAGGCCGGACCCCCCCCCTTCACTACCCAAAGGAGTCTCAGAGCGGTTTACAAACTCCTTTCCCTTCCCCTCCCCACAACAGACACCCTGTGCGGGAGATGGGGCTGAGAGAGCTCTGACAGAACTGTGGCTTGCCCAAGGTCATCCAGCAGGTGCAAGTGGAGGAGTGGGGAATCAAACCCGGTCCTCCCGAATTACAGTCCCGGCACTTAAGCACTACACCAAACTGGCTCTCCTCAGCATTCCCTGAAACTACAATTCCCAGAATTCTTTGAGGAAACCATGACAAAAGTCATTTCAAAAGGTGTATAAAATCAGTGGCTGTTTACATCATTCACACTCCACTTTTCTCCTCAGCGAGATCCCAAAATGGCTTACAAGATCCTCTGTCCTACATTTTATCCTCACAACAACCCTGTGAGGTGGGCTACGCTGACTCACCCAGCGAGCTTCCACAGCAGAGTGGGGATTTGAAACTGGGTCTCCCAGATCCTAGACTGACACTCTCACCACAACACCATGCTGGCTCTCTGCATAATGCGGATATTCCCTTGGGGGACTGTGAAGGGACACAGCCTGCCACCTGACCCTGGAGGTGGTTTATTCAGGAGAGCTACCAGGTTTTACAGGACCGACACCCAAGAGTCGGCAACCATACCTGTTCCAGTTTAGGCTGCTACAAGTCAAAAGCAGTCTCCTGAACTGGCAGAAGATGGGAACATCAGAAGAGCCCTGTTGGATCAGACCCGTGGTCTCCCTAATTCAGCATCTTTTCACACACAGTGGCCAAACTGTTCCTCTGGAGGGCCAACAACAGGGCATACAGGCCCAGGCCTTCATAGGAACATAACAGCTGTGCTGGATCAGCCCAGTGAGGGTCCATCTAGTCCAGCATCCCGTCTCACACAGAAGCCAACCAGTTCCTCTGGAGGACCAACAACAGGGCAGAGAGGCCGAGGCCTTCCCCTGATAAGGACACCAGAAGAGCCCTGCTGGGCCAGACCAGGGAGGGTCCCTCTAGTCCAGCCTCCTGTCTCACACAGGGGCCAGCCAGCCCCTCTGGAGGGCCAAGAACAGGGCAGAGAGGCCGAGGCCTTCCCCTGAGAAGAACCTCAGAAGAGCCCTGCTGGGTCTGACCAGGGAGGGTCCCTCGAGTCCAGCCTCCCGTCTCACACAGGGGCCAGCCA